CATGTCGGACAATTGAATTGTGGGTAAAACAGGGCGTTAATGCGTAAAAAAAATATTGCGTTAATTCCAGAAATTAATCATCTCGCGTTAACGCGTTAATTTTGACAGCCCTAGTTTATTATATATACCAGATCATACAGTCAAATTGATTCAAAGTTTTCTATCTAAGGAAAACCAGTTGGTTGCATTGACTCATTGACTCAAAGGCAATCCCTCACACTAAGCATGCTTGCAGCGACAGTGGAGAGGAAAAAAAATCTCTTTTAACAGGAAGGAACCTCCAGCAGAACCAGATTTAGTGTGAGTGATTATAAGAAGTAATAACATGAACTTTGGTCCTTGTTCAGCCTGGTTTGTTGCAGATCCAGCTATTTTATATTTTGTTGTTTTCTGACATCAGATGGTGCCAATAAAAATAAGTGGTTGTAATTCTTGGCAGTTATTTTCTAACTAGAATAAAGATCAACATAGATTTTGTTTCCTTGCATAACTTTTACTTCTGTCTTTTCTATTTTGAAAAGTATTTCAAAGAAATGAAACTTTGTGTCACTTTATATTTTAATCAACACCACAATCACACATCGACCTGAAAACAAAATATCTAAACTAGTTGTTTCAGTCACAAAAAAAGGAAATGGTATAAATCAGATGTGGTACTGAGGCGTCCCAATCTATAGTTCAATGCACTCATTTTACTGGTACAAGTATGGACAGAAAACAGGCGATTCATTTAGATGATCAGTTCTGATTTTAGAGATTTGTTAGGGTGAAATTTAACATAAAAAAATGAATGTTTACATTTTATTTTTATAGTAAATTCAAGTCCTGACTCCACATCAAACGCCATCAGGACATCTGACTCACCGGTGGTGAAGCGGGGTTTGCTGGCAGTTTCCTGCGTTGTCCGGCTGAGGGGATTCTCCGGTGCGGTGAGCGAGGTGGAGGCGGGGGAAGAGCGAGTACGCGACAGGGCCGGGTGGACGCCCAACCCACAGGCTGCCCCTCCGCTGCTACGAAACACAGGCACAGCCAGGGTCTCCATTTGTTGATGCATCTGCTGCAGCTGCTTCTGCTGCTCATACAGCAGCGACTAAAAGGGGTGAAACAAAAACAAACTCTGATCAAATCAATGTAACATGTGAAGAACTGTGTTCATTCAGCTTTAGATGTGCAGTTTTAAAGGGAGGGTTACTATGATGAGGCTCAGTAATGCGCAGAGACGACCTTTTAAGAGTTATGTCGCCATCTAGAGGACAAACTAAACAGTGTGTGATTTTTCCCAAACCTGGTTAAGTATGAGAGCATGTTGTAGGTTGATTTGCTCGTCACGGGCCTTGGATCCCGCTGGCTCCACCTCTCTCAGCGACTCCGCTCGCACTCTGCTGTGATAACTGGTCTCAGTGGGGGACGTCCCGCCGTCCTCTGAGTCCATTTCCTCAGATGGGATTTGATGAAGTCTTGGCTTCTCGCTGGACTTAGACATCAGCTGCAAATAGATGCAACCCAAAGATTAATAATGAAATGAAGCAGATTAAGAATCATCGATGGAGAACATTCGGCTGATCTTCATCAAACAGGATTTTTTTGTTTAATCAATTCTGACTTAATAATGCAGGAATTGGAGAGAATTTAAATATGGAGGCATGGCAGCAAATTTGAGAAGTTCAAATAGAACAAAGAGAAAAAATGCTCAACATATGAAGATCCTGAGCTGCATGGTGCCCAGTTTGATGCAAGAAGATTCTGTTTGATACCCTAAATTTCTGCTTTGCAAAAAATCTAAATCTTGACACGTAATTTTTTCTTAAAATAAGTTCATTTGTTCTTGGATTGAGGAGATAAAAGAGACATTTTGCCATAGAACAAGACAATTTACACTTAAAAAGAAAACACAATTGCAATGTCTTATTTCAAGTGCATATTATCTTATTATCTATATTTTAAAAGTAAAAATACTAATTCCATTGGCAAATTATCTCATTTACCTATACAAATAAAGGGTAAATACACTTAATTTAAGAAAGTTTTATTAACTTCTAGATCGTTTTTCCAGTGTGCATTGAGTTTGCATGTTTTCCCTGTGCATACGTAGATACTCTCTGGGTCTGGATTCCTCCCACAGTCCAAAAACACGACTATTAGGTTAATTGATGTCACTAAATTGCCCTTAGGGGTGAATATGTGTGGGCGTGTTGGACATCTTTTTTATTTTTTATTTTTTTTTTTTACAAAGAATAATTAGTCATTAGGGAATGTTTGTTGGAAAAATACTAAGTAGAGCAGGAGGAGGAAAAACAATTTATGGCATTAAGATCCAAAACAGAAACAGTGAGAGGAAAGATAGATGAAGCTAAATCCAGGAAAAGTTCAGGAAGGAAACCTGGCAGATGCCAAAAAAGACTTGTTGTGGCAGCGGGTTCACCTTCTTGGAATACAGCAGAGATAAACATGCAGCCAGAACAAACTCATTTAGATCCATGCAGTCATCTACAAGTCTGTTAAAATTCCCTAAATCCTAAAAAGAACCTGAAGTGAGAGCTTAAAGCGTGCTAGTAAAATTATTTGCTAATCGGAATGATCTTGAGCTGTTTTACTATCAGGTATGACCAGAAAGAGAAGTGTCTGCATGTGGAAGCTCACCTTTAAAATCTACACATTATACTGCAGCATCAGGTGGTTCTAAATAACAAAGACTCATGGGAGACAGAATATTCTAGCTTATGCACATTTTCATAAAAAGCCGAAACTTTCTCATCATACGGCAACTTGTTTTGGTCTAAGTCAGGGGTAACCAATTAAAAATCAGCGGGGCCCAAATAAAGGAAATCATCAACCAGTCCGGAGAATTTGACACTGAAATAAAAATACGTTTTTATGCATCCAATGTTATACATTGATGTTTTAGGTAAATCTAAAGTGTTTTTTTAAGTAGAGAACATCAATCGTTCAGTTTGGTAAACAGACAATTTCCTTATTCACATATTTCATAAAACACCTGAACTGACCGTTTTTTATTTTATCTTTGTTTTTTCTGTCTTAATGAGAGCAGTGGGCTTTATGCTGCCCTGCAAGGCTTTAAACCTGGTTTGAATGGAGACAAAGCCATTCTAAAGCACATATCAAGGTGCTCATTTTGAGCCTGGATCCATATTAATTTCTGATTAAGTTCATGGTGAAGAATCCTGCTTAACAGCAGCAGGCTGAGCCACACATCCTCTAAATGTGCAGCTTGCCACAGGTTTGACTGCTGTGTCTAAAAGCAGCAGCAGCAGCAACCCAGCCTGACAGCAGCTCATTGGATTATTTGTATCATGTGCAAATGAAGTTAGACACTGTTGTCGGACAACATGCAATATTTTATATATGTATTAAATAAGGTTGGGTCCAGATTAGCCAGCAGGTGGGTCCGGCTCCGGGCCGCGGTTTGCTAATCCGTGACCTCTGGTCTAAAACAGGAAATCTCGATAAAACTAAGTGAAAACTTTGGTTTCATCATGACAGACTGAGAACATTTTAAGATAAGAATCTATTAAACAGGTTTCTGGCTAAAACCTTTCACAGGTTTGGAAAACTTTAGTTCAGAATGAGTACCTTTCCCAGGTGAGTCTGCTGTTTGAGCCTCTCCAGCAGCTGTGCATTGTGCTGCTGTTGGACCAGATGGTTGTGAAGAGCTCGAGGGCTCTGAGGAAGGGGCTCGGAGCGGGTTCTGCTTAGGGGCTTACGGGTCTGAATGCCTCCAGGAGAAAGGCGATCTAACTGCGGGGCAAACTGCAGAGGGACGGGATCGAGGCCTGGAACTGGTGAGACAGAGCGGGAAAAGCAAAAATAAGTAATTATTAACAAAACCAGAATACCTTATAATATCTAAGTGATCAATATGAGTTTAACAGCATATCACTGATAAAAAAAACATTTATGAGCAATAAAATAGAGGGGTGAACCGATAGAGCTGATGCAAGACATTCATTCCAAAAATAACCACTTGGTGGTGCTCTAACTTTACAAATTGGTGCTGCACAGGTTATGAATGTGATAATTTAGAGTTGTGTTATTATGTACCACCTTAGCATGTAATATTGCAAAGCTGCAAAGCTTGAAACATGTATGAGGAAGCATAGAAAATAAACATGGGACTTAAAAATAAACCTGCTTTTATGTGAGAAGCATCAGCCCACATGATGGAAACTGTTAAACCTTTTTATTTTTAATTCAAGTAGATTAATTCAGTGAGAAAACCACTGTGGCCTCCTTGAACTTAAATTATGATTAGTTGTTAAACTGGTCATTTATTACTATTAACCTGACGTCCTTTTCCTCAGGCACAAATGACATATCACAGAGTACTGTTTGTTTTTTATATTCCTCCAAATAGGAAAGACAGTAATGGACAGTAAGAGAACTGAAGCAGTTCAGAAAGGAGGGATATACCAAATAGGAAGGAAAGAATAACAGGGGGATGGAAATTAGGAAGGAAGGGCCCAAGAAAAGAAGGACAAAGGAAACATATGTAGGAAGCAAGGATGGAAAAAAGATGAAAGGAACGACATAAAGCTAGTAAAAAGGAAAACATGAAAGGAAAGAAACAGGGAAGGGTGATGGAAAGAAAAACTAAAAAAAAAGTCTGAAAACACAAGTAATCTATTATATACTTCGTACTGTCCATATCCAGAGCATCACAAACATGCAGACTGAACCGTGTGGCACCAAACACTCCTAAGGTTAAACAAGGAAAAGCCCAGCATGTCCACTTTTAAGTGAATAGAGGAGAAAAAGGGATCATGGGAATTTGTTTTTTCCCTTTCAATAGATAATGGATCCTTTTTGGAGGGAGGAAAAAGGCACAGACTCTCAGAAAAATAAAGAAATGCGAAAAAGGACAGTGAAAATAAGAAATATTTCTAAAGATGTTTGGCCCTGTCTGTCTGTTTGTGTGAGTGTCTCCCCACCCAGGGTGCGCATGAGTCCAGAAGGCTCCAGGATGATAACCGGTAAGTGTGGGTTCATCTGCCCTGCTTGATCGTCTCTGCTGAGGGGGAGGAAGACAGGCGAGCCCCCGGCGGTGACCACAGGAATATGGCCGACTTTCAGTGAGGGCAGCTCCACTTCAGCCTGAAACACATGTGAACACCTTGGTTGAAAAGCTGGAAATGAGCAGCGATCGATTTTAGAATGAAGAAAGTACCACATAGACATTCATATTGTCAAACAGGAAATTAGGTCTGACACACTGCAAAAACAATCTAGAAATGAGTAAAAATGTCTTAAATCAGGTGTATTTACCCTTAATTTTATTAGATAAATATGATGATTTGCCAATTGAATGAGTATTTTTACACTTAAAATTAGATAATTAGATAATATGCACTTGTAATAAGACAATACTGTAGCTTTTTCTTATCCTAAATGTAAGTATCTCACTTACTGTACCTCCTCAATTCAAGACAAAATGCACAAATTTGAAGGAAAAATTACTTATTTAGATTTCAATTTTTTGCATTGCTGCACAAAAGTCCCAGTCATGATAAAGCGATTGAAGCAGATGTTCAGGCCAATGACATTTCAATTTAAAGACACTGAAAATCTCCAAGTCAGCACCCCAGCTTTGACATCATCACGCTTCCTTTTACTCATCCACTTCCTTTTAAAAACAGGGTATTTGGGAGATACATTTCATATTCATTTAGGATCCCTAAGAGATTTTAAATGATGCTTTGAAGAAACTTTAAGACATGATGGGTTAAGAAGCTTAGAAATACTGTATATTCAACCCTTTATGCAGGAAGGGAAATGGATAAGAGAAACCTTTAAGAAATCTAGTAATGTAAATAATACAATTTTAGTGAATTCAGCTGAACAACTATTGTTGAGAAAAGCATGGCAGAAAATTCAAGCTGTTAAAATAGAAGAGAGGGGAAAAAATTGACATATCTGAGAATTCTTCCATCCAAAAATATGTCTTATCTTCCTTTATGTTCCCAATTGTTTCGCTGATTAGACCTCTCGTCTTTGGGGTGGGCGTTATTATCCTTTAATATAATGAACTGATCGCTTTGGCGGAACTTTTCCATGCATTAAAACCAGGTTCAGAGGTCTTTTGTGAGACAATCTGGCCCACAGCACCAAAGATCCTCCACCATACTGGATAATAAATATGAAACAATCTTCATATTTTTCCCAGACCTGAATCTTTTCTGATCAAAGCATTAGACATCTTTAGAAAATGTTGATGTGTGATATATTTTAAGAAGATGCTGTAGCCATTAAGTTTGGAAGATGCTCAAACATGTAGATAAAGGAAGCAGGAAAGAGGCAGAGAAAAAGGATAACAACTCAACTGAAGTGTATAAACATATACAAACAATTATGATAAAGCAGATTCCTACCCTTTGGTTGGCTGGCAGTCCAAGTGTGATGGTGGGTAGAGTGGACGGATTCTGGATGGTGAAGTTAGACAAGTTTCCATCTCTAAGCAGCAGCTTGTGAGCCTGAAAGTACCAACATTTCAGATCAGCACTGCTGTATCATGGGAATAATAGACGCTACATCTGCTTCTAGATTTTGTTAAATATCTTCCTAACTGTTACCACAAATGTAATTGTTTGGAAACTGTTGACGCTCTGCATTTTAAAGACTGGCAGCACAGACTGATGAAACCTTTATCTCTGACTTTGCCAGACTTGACACCCGACACAACAGCTGATGAGTCAGACACCAAAGCAGGTGTAACAGAGGACGACTTTCCATGATTAAATCAATAATGCACAACCAGCTGACAAACAAGCTCTTGTGTCGCTCTTTTAAACATGTCATTACTGAAAGTTAATGTTTGCAGAGCAGCTTCTCGGCTCAATCACAGCATGTTTTATTTGTTTAGAACTTTAAAAAGTGTCTATCTGATGAAAAACTATATTCTTAAGTGGTTTAATTTTTCTGTTGTCAGCTGCATTGCACATCGACATATTTTCGGGATCAGTTTTACATCAAACCTTCAAGCAGCAGCTTTTTGTAAATCTGTGAGTGTGTGTTTTTTGCTGACCTCATGCAAAGGGCCGCCTGCAGATGGCAGCAGTCCGTTCTCGTTGGGCAGACTGTCATTAGGAGAACTACAACCAGAGACGGGAGTGCTGCTGCTGCTGGGGGAAGAGTCTGCTGAGACATACAGTGGGTCCGTTAGGGAGACGATTATGGTTTGGAGTCGTACCATCAGACATCATATAAATAAATCCTCAGACACAAATATTAAAGCAACGGTATGGCTTCCATTGTAGTGTTTGTATGTGTGCTCTTACCAAGGGCGTCCGGGGTTCTGTGCTTTATGGTGGGCGGGGCGCTTTCCTTGCGGGTGAGGGGACTCTTTCTGGTTTTGAGGTGATTCTTCAGCTTGTGCTTCACCTTCAGATTGGGCTCCGATGCTGACAAATTAAAACATAAAAAAGTTCAAAGTCATTTAAAGTTGGTAAACCTCTTTATCTCTGACAGTAATTTTTTTTTTTTGAGATTTTACAGCACTAATGGCTCATTTTTATAGACAGTAGGCTGACAGGAAAGGGGGTGAGACACGCATGAAAGGACCAATGGCCAGATTTGAACCCCGATCGCCCGCTTCAAGGACTAAGGCCTCCATACATGGATCGTGTGCACCAACCACTGCGCCACCAAAGCACACCCCTGACTGCAACATTTAAAAAAGAATCCAATTCCCACAAATCAGTTCATGTGTAGTTTTATACTTGTACTTTTAGAAATAATTTTATCTACAAACAAAGTTTTCAAAAAGTACTGAGTCATCCCTTCAAATCACTAAAAAATCTTTGAAAGAATGAGTCAGAGAAAACAGACAGGATGCAACCTGTGGATTCAGCCCATTCATTAAATGTCCTCCCTCCAAGGCTGGTAAAAACCTTAGTTATATTTTCCATGTTATTTTATTTGCATTAGATATAGACTGGTGCACGTTTCTTAAGGCTGATGCAGATTATTTGGCAGATTTTTAAAACCATTATTGCTCTCTCTCCCATTTACATGTTAGAAATTACACAATAACTAACGTTACACAAAAAATAAACTTTTGACATCAGATCCAACAAAACAGGAATTGATTGCAAATGGAGGGAGTGACATTGTGTGCGCTATTTGCCGATACAAGACAAAACTGCTAATATTGTAAAGCGAATGTTATGGGGAACAGCAGCTACTCAGCTAACAGGGTGTGGTGATGGTGTTATGGAGTTATGAGAGGAGCCCTTCTATGGAGGCCTTAAGGGCAGGTTATCCTACATCAGCAGTGTGTTGCAGTGAGCTTGTAGGTGATGTTTTTGATTTATGCCCAATATTGAAGTGTTGTCTGCGCTATGTTATTCCACGTCACAATGCAAGAGGGACAATCATGAACTAGCTGTGGGTCTAGATACGGCCGAGGAAGTGAGGAAGTTGGGGCAAGTTTGTACGACATGAAGGGACATGAGGGCGAAAAAGAGCAGGGATCCAGGTGGAAAAAGGGTCTCAGTATTCTTGCACACCTCGCTCTTCAAGCTGGTCCATCTTCACAAGTCGTTTTCCACAATAGCGGTAATACAAACAAAACAAGCCAGTAAGGTACCAAACACGAAATATGCAGTGTAGAACGGATGTAGATTTGACCAATCAGATGCCTCCTGTCTTTTGGAGAGGTGCACAAGAGTGTCTGCAGAAGAGGCGGGGACACATTTGCGTTCACTGCCACATACAGGCAGACGACCTGGTTTCTGAGTATATATCAGCCCTTTAGACCTTAAAAAACGGATCCGTGCGTTTATTTTAAGTCGAATGAATTACTGCAATGGTGTTTTCACAGGTCTGCCTAAAAAGTGGATCAGACAGCTGCAGGTGATCCAGAACGGTGCTGCCCGTGTCCTCACTAAGACTAAGAAAGTAGAGCACATCACCCAAGTTCTAAAGTCCTTACACTGGCTCCCTGTATCTCAGAGAATAGACTTTAAAATACTTCTGTTAGTCTATAAATCTCTGAATGGCTTAGTACCTAAATACATCACAGACTTGTTATCAGTGTATCAACCCTCCAGACCACTCAGGTCTTCTGGCTCCAGCCTGCTCTGCATACCTAGAACCAGAACTAAACATGGAGAAGCAGCATTTAGTTCCTATGCTCCACTTATCTGGAACAAACTTCCAGAAAACTGTAAAAGTGCGGAAAGCCTGAGTTCCTTTAAATCAAGACTAAAAACACATTTGTTTAGGATTGCCTTCGACTGTTCTAGTTAAACAGTTTAACTAAAACATGTTTTCTTTAGTCCAACTGTTTTTAATATTCTTTTTTGTTTCTGCATTTTTTATTTTATTTATTTATTTTTTTTCCTACTTGCTTTGATTCAGTTTTATCTTCCTGTATTTAAATCATGTAAAGCACTTTGCATTGTCTTTGTACTGAATTGTGCTATACAAATACATTTGCCTTGCCTAATGTGGCTGTCATGGGTTTGATTCCCAAACCTTTTACCTTTGCTGCATGTCTCTCCTCTGCTCAGAAATATATTATAGTTAATACACTGTTGAAAAATAAAAAAAATGCGTAAACTGTTTAAAACAAAACACCATGTAGGATCCAAGGATGTCGGGAAATTAGGGTACACAAAGCTTCACAGAATGGGTGTGAAAGTCCAAACAGCTACATCCAAGCCTGGTGCAAAGCATCAGATGCAGTGCTGTGAGGTACACCACATAACACCCAAGTCATTGCACTCCAATGGACCAATCAGGGTTCAGCAGTTTCCAGAAGGACATTGCTATTCACTTTGCATTGTGTCAAAGTTTGTGTGTGTATGGATGTTGCCTATAGGTTTTAGTGAACTAAATCATTAAGGTTTCAGTATAACAAGACATTTAGAACAGCTTCATGTTTCCAACTTTGCTGGGACAGTTTTGGGGGTTAGCCAGTACTGTGTCAGACAACATGAACGCTAATCCACACTGCAAAAACAATCTAGAAATAAGTCAACTCTTTTTAAATTAAGTGTATTTACCCCCAATTTCAGCAGGTAAATAAAAGGATCTGCCAATTGAATAAGTGTCTTTACTCTTAAAATAAGATAATTAGATAAAATGCACTTGAAATAAGACATTGTATAATTGTTTTTTTTTTTATTTTAAATGTAAATTGTGTAGTTTCATTGGCAAAGTGTTTCACTTTGCTACTCAATTTAAGAAAAAAAATGCACTCATTTTAGGAAAAATTACTTATTTAGATTTTTTTTTTTGCAGTGCAGAGCAGAAAGCTACTAACTTAGAGGAATGGATGAGCCTGTTTGGAGAGGAATAACCTGACCTGCCTATTTAGAGTGTGGAGGTCAAGCCGACAGAAAAACCTATGAGATAGATTAGATCTAAAACTGCTAGAGAGGTCGTTATCCCAGATCAGTGTCTGACATGGAAAGTTCCTTCTGAAACAAAACATCTCCATAAAGATGCTTCTACATATTTTTGGCAGAAAACTTTCCACTTAATAGTGTAGTAGCACTTTTCCTTAACTTTAACTTTTCTTCTTAACACTAAAGTCGTAGGGAAACAGCTGTTCTTTTACACGAGTGAATAAAGTTAATGTGATTGGTCGTTTATCAACGGGGCGGGATTGTTGTGGTTCGCAAGCTTTTGATGTGGCCAGTGTCTCGAAAGCATCATTGCAGTTAGCAGCTTAGTGC